GATTTTTCATTGCATCCCATTGATCGTATGTGATCTTCTTATAAATTTCATGATCTTTTTTAGGTGATGTTGAGTCATTCCAACGATACTCTCAACACTCAACACCCGACATCTCGACCCTAATCACAATTGATTAAATGATATTTTGGAAATGAAATTTACCAACACTTTAGACCTAACAAATACTTTTAATTGTGCAGCGGAGCATGTTTTTTAAGTCATTTTCTTTAAAAATTGAGTAATTTTTACGTTACAACATGATGTAGGAGCATCCGAGTTAGACGAAGTCGAGTTGTTTGATAACTTGTTGATGACGTTGAGATACCATGAGTTGGCGGATCAGCGTAAAAATGGCAAGGAATCGATGATCTTTCTTAATGGGGGCCGTTTTTGGACACATTTTAGTATTTTGGCCATAACTTTAGCCACGGTTATCAGAATCGCTCTCACAACCCTAATTCAGAAAGCACTTTTCGGCGCGCACGTTGTGGTCACCCAACTTCACTCAACGCGCATCGATTTCAAGAGCAAAATCTACTATTTTCCTTTCCGAATCCCCAATTTTAGTTATTTTTTTTCCTTTTTTGGTAATATTTTGTTTCCCTTTTAAAAATAAATTACGAACTCGAATTAAGCCAGATTTTTGGGATATTGTTTCTTTTATTATGTACTTTCTTTTGGTATGAATATTGAAATTTTGCTATTTTTGGTAAAATTTCGATAATTATGATTTTTCAGTTATATAACCCGACTTGTGGGTTATTTCCACATGTTGAATGAATAATAAAGAGTTTTTCTTTTTTTTTTTTGGCGTTTTCTCTCGCGTTATTCCCTATTAATTATCTGCTGAATCTCAACCTGTAAAATAATCGCTATTCTCCCCAAACTTCTTCGTGAGTATTAAAAACTTTAAATTCATTATGCCAAAAGTAATAATTAAAATAAGAAAAAAATGTCATAGATTTTGATACATAAGAAACAAAGAATTTGAGAATCACGCCGGACCAAAACAAATTTAAAACATTAACAAAAATATATCAAAGAATATCTCACTCATAAATGACTAATCGTAATATTT